AGACTAAGATTTCTGTACACAGGTATTTGTCACAGCAACATTTATAGTAAGGAAAAGCTGGAAAACACCTAAATACCCACAAGTGCACTTATTAATAAGCCCACATGGGAAAGCCACATCACGTGAGATAACTGTGTTGCAATGTGGGAAAGTGCGTGATGCTTTAGGTAGAAGCGCATGCAACGCAGTCATCCCTCACAATCCCTAGGGGACTGGTTCCAGGACCCCCCAGACACCAAAACCTCCAGGCCCACAGCTCTGACATCAAGTAGCACAGTGTACAGTCTACACGTCCTCTCAAAGACTTCTAGATTACCTACAGTATCTAATGCAGCGTGAGCACTGGCAGGACCAGGAAAAATGTCTGTACATGTTCAATACAGACAGCAATTATTCTCCTGAACCTTTTCAATCCACAAGTGGCTGAATCCCCAGATTCGGAACTCATGGATATGGAGGACCAATAGCAATCCTAACTTCATTTTTAAAAATGTCATACCTCCCCAGTGCTACAAGAGCAGAAGGCAGGCAGGGGCATAATGAAAGCAACGATGCCCTGCGAGTGCCGCCCTCTTTTGTGGCAGGAGGCAGCACTCTGGATCACGTCTCCGCCTCCACGAGGCTATGAGAGTCCCATCTGTAAACTCTGGCCACACCCACCTCCCACACCATCTGAAGGTCACATGGTGATGACCATGAGCACATCATGTCAACCACAGGAGACAAGAGGGACCTCTGTGGGGAGCACTACCCCAAGAGAGGGAAGCGAAGTCACGTCCCTGGCAATTCCCCCATCCCAATGCGACTGGGAGGGGGACACCTTGCCCCCAGGACACTATGGAATGCCGCCATGGCTTTGCCCAACCAACAGCATGCTGGGCTGGGGAAATCCTGAGCCCAACTTCACCTCTCCTGCACCTTTTGTCACAAAAGCGGTATCCCTGAGGTCAGGGCTCATGAGACACTTTCAAACTGTGCATACCCACAGCCAGCTCTTCTACCCCACACCATGTTGACAGCACAAGAGCCTAATCCACTGGCCTCCTAATTGCTGTTGCTAAGGTCCCCATCCCTGGTGGGACTGCTTGACGCAGAGCTGGTTAGGAGGGCTGGGGTGGGGTTGGGGGGGAGGCTGGTTTGCAGAAGTCTCCACAGAGCCGGCTCCAGCTGTATACTCCAGTGAACACCCAGCCAAGATTTCAATTAAGTTACCAGAAACACTTCAGTGTCCTCACACACTCCACAACAGAGATGGAGAAGGAAGTCAGCTGGTGGAGGTCACAATGCTGTTCAAGGGAGTATTTCTTGGGTCACAAGTGGAAAACTGTTCTCTGAACAAAACCAGGAAGTTTTCCATTTTTATTGTATGTACTAAGTCAAGGGAGGGACTTTAGATTCTGGTAAAAATATCTACCCATTCCCAGGCCCCACAGGACGTAGACAGGGCCCTTCCCTGGGTAACAGCAGGGGCTCGTGTGAGCAGGGGCCTGCAGGCCACGGAGGTATCAGGGACTTTCTGCCATAGAGCTGGGCAGTCCCCGCAGCACTTGGCTCTCAGAGACCAGGCACTGAGAGGGAGGAGGGCAGCTGCAGCCAGTACTGAAGAAAATGGTAGAACCACCCAGAAGTACACTTCTGCACTTCACAGGCACAACCTCTAAAGCCTGGAGGAGCCACGGCAGCATGAGCTACCCCCCACCCACAGTAGAAAGCCCCTGGGACACAGGTTTGGGAAGCAAATATCCCAAGAATGTCATTTGAGAAATCAGCTCCAACCACAACCGGCCCAGCCTTTCTCAAGATCCAGGATGTGGGTTTAGCTCCCTAACTCAGGAAGTGGGGAATGGTCAACACCAGGATGTAGGGCACAGGCCTGGGACACTTGCTCCCCAGATCCCTCTCTAGGCCAGAACCACCGACAGCTCTCCCAGTGGAGGCATCCGTACACAGCAATCCCTGCATGAGAGGCCAAAGTCCAGGAAATCCCACTGTCATGAGCTACAGGTTTGTGTCTTTTCCCCAGCCTGGCTCAGAGGCCAGCTGTCACCCTGTTACTGGAAGCTCTCTGCTTGGGGGCCTCCTCTGTCACATATCGTAAACCTCCCTGCAGGAGGAAGTCTGCTGAACAAATACAGTCACCCCACTGGCCATGCTGACATGGCCGTAGTAACTTTCTCTCCCCAGGTCATGAAGCCCTTCCTGGCATCTAGCCCTGCTCAGTGACAAGATTCCCAGACTCAGGAGAAAGGACCATGGAACAAGGCACAGCCACTTCCCTATCCATCAACAAGGTCTCTGACAATTTTACTGCAGTCTCTCCAACTGGAGACTAAGTGCCGAGCATCATCTGACACTGGGACACTGAGGGCTAGTCCGCAACAGGGTTTCTACATCCCCATGACTCAGGAGGGGACACTGGCTTTTCTTGGGAAGGTACAACTGTAAAAGGCACATATCCGGAGGCAAAGCCCGATGTAAGTCTCACATGTCCAAACAGTGCCTCTATTTCAAAAATCTATCAACACTGCTGCTGGTGATCAAACACTAAGATACATGGAAAAGCAGGAAAAAATTCTTGGCACTCAGAAACCAGGCACTGAGAGGGAGGAGGGCAGCTGCAGTCAGTACTGAAGAAAATGGCAGAACCATTTACGGATGTATTTCTGCACTTCACAGACACTTTCTACTATCTACTTTAAACAGAAAATAAAATGCTGCTACATCTAGAGAGCGCCAAAACCACTGCTGACCCTTTAACGATTTGCTCTTGTTCTTAGAAAAGGCTGGACCTGCTGCTATATTCAGATCCCAGTGAGAACACCATGGAACCAGCATGGAGGACAGGAAAAGTCCCTAGCACGTGGGGTACAAGTTCATCCTGACAGCTGCAATGGTTAACGGCATGGCCTTCCAAGTATGGCTGTGAGGCAGGTTTCTCTCCAAGTCCCGGTCACTACAGACTTGGGAGGACCCAGGGTCTCTCTCACTCCGCTGAGTCTTACTCAGGAGCCAATGGCAAGAGTCAGGGCAGCCCAGTGACATGGGTAAGGCTGAGTGCCAGGTGCTCCACAACGCACCTGGGAATCCCAACCCTCAACCAACCTGATGGAGCTGCTGCTGCAGAGCTCGGCTCTCCGTCACGATGGCAATCTGGGCCTCCAGGTCCCGGTGAACTGACCTGTACCCAAAATTAGGAGAGCCAATCAGCGTGAGACAGGGCAGGCTGCTCCCTGCCAGGTACAGCCAGAGGCCTGCAGGGAAAAGGAAATGTGCAGACAGGAAGTGAGCACAGTATCAGCCAAAGTCCTCACCATGCACTGTCTCAACCTAAGAGGAAAGCAGTTGGCTGTGCTTGCTGCACGTGAGGTGGCCATGCACTTGGAGTGCAGACCAAACCAGGCTCATCACCCACCCATGTGCTCCAGACCTCTCGGCATGAGGCTGCTCTTTACTTTCTACCATCCCCCACACTGTAGCCCTGTGATCTGAGCAGAATGAAGCACTAGCTCACAGAACATGGTCATCCTGTCCTCAGGGTCTTCTCTCACACTCGGCCCCAACTGCCACCCAAACCCCTCTCCAAAGTGCAGGGCTTCTAATCCTGGCTCCCTGAACTGGCTAGAGTTTGTCATCCTTCCTGGGAGGACCAGGGGAGAGGTAGGAGGGGACTCCTCCCTGCTTCAGAAGGCAGACTTGGAGCTGTTCTGCAGCGGTGATGGGGGCACTTGATAAGAACAGGTCTGCCTGAGGACATGCTGCCCACCTTTCCTACCTCAGGACACACGTTTCCTTGACCCCTTCTCCCTATTTCAGCCGTTAAAAACACCAAAATCCATGAAGTCCAAAGGTCTCTTGGAAGTGTGCCTTCTGCCCTCTCTAGCTATTGGGCTCAGAAACCTCCAGGGTGGACCAGGCAAAGCCCACTGTGGCCAGTGGAGGAGAGGACCCAAAGGCCCTGTGAGCTTCTGTCCCACCCACTCAACAGACACCATGGCCAAGTGGATATTATAGCTAGAGAAATGGTGGGCTCAGTAAAGCCCTATGTGTGGTGGGAATCATCATATCTGACCACACAATGGGGAGATTTCTATATTGAAGTCGTGGATTCTAGCAGAATCCTTAAGTGCTACTTGAGAAGACCACAGCTGGTCCCCCGTTCTACACCCAATTCCATGTCTGCCCCTAAGTTCCAGGGCCTGCTTCACAGCCCAGCCCCCAACAAAACTACTCCTAAGACAGATCCCCAAACCTAACCTCCCAAGGACATGTGCTGCCTGAGATGTCCCACTCTCGGGAGCATGCACTTGGGCACAACCTCTAAACTTCCCTCACTGCTGCCCCCTCCATGGCACCAAGAACGCCTTCCCCAGAAAACCCAGCCCAGTGTCAGTGACACTGAGCAGACACAGTCCCTGCAAGCACTTGCACTGGGCCAGCCTCCCCACGGCCTCCTGACACTGCTCTTCCACCAACACGATACTCTTCAAAAGGCCCACGGTACATATGATGGTCATGGGCAAGTCGACAGAATGTAACTCACATCAACCCCTAAAATAGAAGACCATTGCCTAATTCTCACACAGAGCAGGAACACTTCCAAGAATGTCTTGGGTAAGAGGTGACAAGGCCTGCCACTTATTCCTGTAATGGGCTTGTTCCCTCCCCTACAGAGGACCACATCAAAGTCACTTGCCTGCCTTGTGCCCAGTTCCCTCAGAGGGGCATCTGGCTGTGCAGGCAACTCAAGAGGCCCCCAGAAGGGCAGGCTGTTCCCTCTCTCTGGAGTCCAGGCCGAGCCTGCTCTTCTATACTGACAACTTCTCAGACTCAACCTTCTCCACTTTCAGAGCACAGAGCTGGGAGTTGGGAGACAAGACACAGGGCAGGAATCCCAACAGTCTCAGACCAGAGAAAGACAAGAACTTCCTCCCACATGCCACCAGCCTCTGCACTGCACCTCACTAGCACCACACTGAGTCTGCTCAGTGCCACCTACCATCCTTTGGTGGGGGATATGGAGGAAGGCCCCATGAGCCACCAGGGTCAGGCTGATCTGCATCCTGCCACCATGACTCTGTGCCCATCCCGAGACTCCCAGTCCATAGTCTGGGGAGGGAGTGGAAGTGCCAGGTCCTGCATGCACTTTCTTTTTGTGGTGGTACTGGAGTTTGAACTCAGGGTCCTTGCTTGCTAGACAGGCGCTCTACCACTTGAGCCTCTCCACCAGCCCTGTTGTGTATAGGGTATTTATGCAGGCTGGCTTTGAACCTTGATCCTCCTGATCTCTGCCTCCCACATAGGTAGGATTTAAGGGCGTGAGCCACTGACCCCCAGCACTGCATGTACTTTTTATTTGCAAAACCTGCAAAATGTTGGCTGATTCTCTCACAAAGCAAGCCAGAGGTGGCTGTCAGAGGCAGGCAGCCCACTGGTGAAGGCACACCACATGGAGAGGTACTCCTCAGTCTCTATCATCACTGACACCTAGACCAGCTGTACATCTGTCTGTATACCATATGAACAAACAGCTATGCTTCATATATTAAAGATTTTTTAAGTGCCCTCTCCCCAAAAACCACCCACCACCCTCATGGGGAAGGCATGATCTGCTCCTATCCCTTGTGTTTTCTCTCTTCTAATCACTGCTGCCTCCCTCACCTTCTTTCCCCTACAGCCTAGGCTGGCCTTCAGGTGAGTGCTTCTGAGAGGCAGCTCACATTTTTAGCCTTCTGACCAGTTGGGTGAGAGACTGCCCCACCAACTTCTCCCACAGTCCAATTTGTGCTATCTCAATCTGTGAAAAAGAAAATAAAGGCCAGTCAGGCATGGTGTGCACACCTACAATCCCAGCACTCACAAGGCTGAAACAGGAGGATCTCAAGTTAGAGATCCTGTCTCAAAAAACAAAAGACAAAAAAACAAATGAAGGCATAAGGAAGGAGAATGAAGACCAGAAATGGCACCCTTTGAAGAACCTAAAGACAGGGTGATGAAGCACTGCCAAGAAGGGATGTCACCACCTCTTCCTGCCAAGAGAGGCAGGACAGTGGGCAGGCCCGAGGGAACCTGGGAACAACACTCTTTCTTGTTGTGAACTCCAAATCAGTAGTTCCAACTACAGGTCTGTACGTTGAGGACAGCTGGAAAGTTTCCAAGTAGGGTGGGGAATCAAGAAGCAAGCCCTAGTGTTCCTGTCGCTCCTAGGGCTCAGAATGCCTCCTGGGCTGTGGACTCCAGGGCCGGGGCTGGGAAACACATTTCCGGCTCAGGGCCATAAACTGGTTATCAAACCCTACTTCCTCACCCCAGGGCCTGACCTTTGGGCCCAAAGTCTCTATCATTCCAGGAACCAGCAAAATTGTAGCAGGAATGACAGCCTGGGAGGGAGGGGAGCAGAGGGGAGAGGAAGGGGAGAGGAAGGGAAGGGAAGAAGCAGCCCTGCCACAGACAAAGTGCTTTCATGAGTGGACTGGGGATAAGAATTCTCAGCCCTGAGAAGGGGGAGGAGGGGGCAGCATAGAGAAGCTACTGCAGCTTCAACCATGGTGCTCTCCATGAGTACTTGGCAGGGGTACAACAGTGTGACCTGGACTCAGAATCCAAAGACTCCTGCTGCCTCCCAGCTCTGGGCTTCCTCCTCAGAAAAGGGTACCTGCCTCTGATCTTCTCTAGCCACCTCATCCTTGCAAAGCAATAACCAGGCTGGTGCTCCCCAGCCTCCTGGCAAAAGGCTCTGAGTACTTTCTGACCGGCCAAATGCCCTCCGTTAGACTGCCCTCACTCCTGCCCAGGCAGTCCTGCATGCCTGGCGAGATCCAGGGTCTTCACTATCTGTTCTCTCTGACCAAGATGGGCACAGGGCTCCCTGTCTTCACTCAAATCTCTGCTTGGAGTCACCTCCTCAGAGAGGCCCTCCCTAACCTAGACCCCCCACCAGCCTGGATCCCTTCGGCTCTGGTCTTCACCTGACACAACTTGTATAGTAGCCTCTGCTTGCCTGCCCTCTGCTTCCCAGGAGGGCAGGCAGCTATCTGGGCCAGTGAATTGTGCACAGTGCCTTGAATATGTGGCACACAGTAAGCACGATTAATATGTTTGAATAAAATGAGAGTAATGAGGGCTCTTCTACAAAGGGAGGCTAAATTAGTGAAAAACACCGTGAGGTTCACACAGCAGGAACCCCTGTGCAGTGTAGGTCAAGTGCCCTCTCTGAGGTCTCTCCCAGAAAGATGCAAACGCATGCACAACTCCCGCTGCCCCCGTAGTATTTGGCAATGCATTTCTAAGAGTTCTTTTTTTTTTTTTTTTTTTTTTATGATTTGGAAATATTTTTATTTTATTTTTTGATGGTAACTTTTTCTTTTTGGTGCTACTGGGGTTTGAACTCAGGACTTTTTTTTTTTTTTTTTTTATGTTCCAACAGTTGATTCTCATTTTTTTTTTTTCTTTTATTATTCATATGTGCATACAAGGCTTGGTTCATTTCTCCCCCCTGCCCCAACCCCCTCCCTTACCACCCACTCCACCCCCTCCCGCTCCCCCCCCTCAATACCCAGCAGAAACTATTTTCCCCTTATCTCTAATTTTGTTGTAGAAACAGTATAAGCATTAATAGGAAGGAACAAGGGGTTTTGCTGGTTGCATTTCTAAGAGTTCTTGAACCCCTGTAAAAACAAGGAGACAGCAGATGTCACATTCCTATCCTCCACAGATGAACGGCTCTGAGAAACTTCAGGAGGTCTAGGGCTAGTGTGTACTTCAGTCTGACAATGTGCACCACACAGCCCCCCAGCTCCAAAGTACACCTGCCAGTTCCAGGTGGCACCTATACTCCAGGCAAACAGGTGGGTCTGCCTGGCTCTCCCTGTCAGTTCACCTTTGGGCATAATGCCAAATCAGCCTGTCAGGAGGACAATAAAAATAGTGACATTCCCACAACCATTAGCAGATCCCGTCAGCAGGAGGAAGAAATCTCTTAATCCAAGGCTCCTGCTCCACCCTAGCCACACACATGCTAACCTAGAATACTGCATCCATAAGACAGCAAGTTAACATGTTAGACTCATTTTCTGATCTCCTTTCCCCATAAAATACAAGCCCCAGGCCTAGCCAGCGCACCTGGTATAGGACAACACATCACTCAGTGAACAGCATGGGCATGCTCCCTGCCTGAAAGGGCTGTTGGCTCTCAGCACAGGGCAGGCATGTTTCTTGCTCAAGGCAAGAGGTCAGGATAATGGTGTGAGCGCTA